GAGTAAAGTACACCTGGGCCAAGGGCCAGTCTCCATTTCCTGGCTTGTAGTGAGCTCCCTCCTACCTCCACCAGCTCGACCCACACCCCTAGGGAGAATCCCACCCTAGGGAGGCTCTGCACTCCAAAGTCAGACTTGGGCACCAGCTCTGCGTCCTAGTGGCATGGGGCATGGAGAAAGCCGAAGCCCTGGGGCTGGTTGCAAGGTAGTGCTGACAAGAGCAGTGTAAGAGAGGGAATAAAGTCCTCCAAATCCCCACTCCAGAGGTATGTGGAGGTCCCGGAGGGCCCGCTGAAGGCTTGAGCCCCCAGAGCTGTTGCCAAGCCCTCCTTCTGTTCACTTGTCTGAACTAGGGCAGAGGCCCACTGGTGTCTCTCCTCCGAGCTGGACAATGGGTGCCCCCGCTGCACGCTCACCCCAAAGGCCCTTCTCCCAAGGCTCCCCCAAGGTCTCAGCCTGCGACCAGAGGCAAGTGTTAATCCCCAGTCAAAAAGGGGGGCTGCTTTGCGGGAATTTGTCTCCAGGAAAGGATCTAAGCCTTCTTCAATCGGAGCATATGTTCATAGAGCAATAAACCGGAAAGATTTACAGTCCTCACTCGGCCCCCAACAGCCTCACACCCTTTCAGGAATTACTTACGATGATTTATCACACCAACCCGGGCAATTGTCACACTGATAAAATAGCCCGGGCCACTGCCCGCCAAACCCGGGCTTTGGGAGGCTGTTGGTTGCCGCGCTGCCAGTGGGGCTGGGGCAGCTTTTTGTGGGTTCCAGTCTTGGCCTACAAGGGGTATCCGGTGAGTTAAAGTGGGTGGGGGTGGGAGGAGAGCCCATTCTCATTGAGAAAAATGCAAGCATCTCAGAGAAAGCGCCCGGAATCTGCGCCTGAGTCACTTGCTAAGCACATAAACATTTGTCATCTTTGAATAATTGAATTAATGTGTTATTGTTTGAATGTATAATTCATAATGGAGGAAACTTTGTTTCTGTCCTGACGGGGAAATATACACACACCAAAAAAAATGAAAACACACAATCCCAAAACAATCACCACCGCAAGCCAGCCGGTGCTCCGTGGATATCACCCTCAGAGCCAACGGAGGCGACTCGCAGAGACAGAGGGAAGGAGGCCAATACAGAGGCGGTCCTGTTCCCCCAGGCACCCGCGTGGGAGCTGCGAGCAGAGGTCTGCTGCTACCCCTAGCCCAGGTCCCCGGCCAGCTCCGGGGTGGGTGGGACAGAAGCTGCGTGGCTTTCTGGACCGAGTGCCGCAAAAGCTGCTGAGATGGAGCAGAGAAGCCGCGGTTGCCGGCCTCCCCGCCAGACCCCTCTCCTGGAGGCTCCCCGCGCCCGGCTGTCCCGCTAGGGGTGCCAGGCACATCCCTCCTTTAGCTTGTATTTTTAGGTCTTCAAAAAATAAAAATACAAAAATAAGGGGGGAAAGAGGGAGCCCCTCTTGGCTGGGGCGACAGAAGCAGCAGAGCTTGGGCGGGGAGGGAGGAGAGCGCGAGAAGCAACTCGGAAATCATTATCTGTTGGTTAAACCCTGCCTGGGGTAAAATTTCAACCCGATTTTATAGCCTTCTATTATGACGCAAGGAAAAATTTACGACCCTCGCTTGAAAAGAGGGCCAGGGCCTTTTCTCGCCAGTTTAAGAATAGGCGGCAGATGCCGTGACAGCGACCATTGTTCCCCGCAGACACAGGCGAGCGGGCAGCCCCGGCCCGCGTGCGCCAGGCGTGTCCCCAGCCGGGCCGGCTTTTTAGGGCTCCTGTTGTCTCGGAGCGCGAGCCCCTCACCCCTCACCCCTCACCCCTGCACCCGGCCCGCACCCCTCCGAGCCGCACGCACACAGCCTGGCTCCGCGCTCCCGCTCTGGCACTCACACCCTCGGTCGCTCTCGGTAATTTTTCACAAGTGCAAAGCTTTGCTGAACCCGAGGTCACCATCCAAGCCACTAACAACTTCTCGGCCGGCGCGCGGTTCCAGATCAGGAAGCAAAGGGAACTATTTGTCAGCGACCCTGACAGCTAAGTTCATTAAGGATTTAAATCTGATGAAATAAAAGTCGCCAAAATATTTACCTGCCGGGCCGCCGCCGGGGGCCGGGGCGGAGGCCGGGGTGCAGCGAGCGGCCCCCCTCGGCGGGCGGGCGGCGCAATTCTCGGGATCCCTGCACTTTCCGAGTCGGAGAGAGCCCTTTGCGTGGCAGATTAATGACGACTCCTTGTTTCTTAAGGGACGTGCTGAATTAATTATTTCGCCAATCACGTGGTCGGGACTTGTAGAAATCTATTCTTATCATCTTCCTCGCACTTTGAAAATTCGCCGGGTTATGAGAGGCCCTCCTCCCCCGGCCGCCGGCGAGCCCCGGCCGCCCAGCCCGGCGCGGGGGGCAGGGAGGGCTCCCCAACATGGCGGGCCGCGCCGGCCGCCTCCCGCCGGGGGCCTGCGCTCGGCGGGCTCGGCTGCGGACTCGCGTCCTCCGCGTCCCCGCCGCGACTCGGTCCTCGGCGCGGTGTTGATGTATGGGTGGGCACAGGAGGAGCCATTAACCAGGAGACGGGCAGAGGACAATCATAAAATGTGTCTGAATATTGAAACTTCTGTCTACGCACTTATAAATACACATGTCCACGCGTCTGGAGCGAGCCCTTCCATATATTAAGGACACATGTCTGATTTTATGCATTCTACTCATTTCCTGTCTCGAGCACCCCCCCCCCCATCTATTTTGGGACTCCTGTCTTGGCCCCTTCTTCAAGGCAGAGGCCAAGATGTGAAAAAGCCCTGGAGATAAAAATAGTTGCAGGATACTTTTTATAGTGGGGGTGTGTTTCTTGTCGTCTGAGGGGCGGAGGGGTGCAGGAAAGGAGGAGGCAGGTACTAGAGGCCCCTTTGCAGCTGAGCAGCACGGGAAAAGTGGGTGCCAGGGACTGGAGGCCAGCCAGGTCAGGTCAGAACAGCCGCCAGCCGGGCTCAGCTCGGCCCAGAACCAGCACTCTTCCCTCGCGTCAGGGGAGCGCGCAGGTTTCTCATACAACAAATCACCAAGACCTCTTCTGAGGGCTCTGGACTGAAAGGGTCTAGGGTTGGACCCGGCCAGGCAGAAAGCCAATATAGAACCCCCTGTTAGCCCAAGCAGTTCTTTTTTCTCTTAACAAATAATGCCCACCCTCTGCAGCCTGAATCCAACCCCAGGCTTCCAAGTGCTCACAGAATACAGTAACCAAATTGTGTGTGTGTGTGTGTGTGTGTGTGTGTGTGTGTGTGTGTGTGCTCATGCTGTATGGGAGAAAAGGTGCTAACAGCATTGCTAAGCCTTGCATGAGTTTAAGCTTCACACCTTAGGCACCAAATAAATCGGTGATTAATTTACTGTAGAAAATAACAGTGTTTCTGTCAAGGCACCAAACAGGAGGGAGATTTTACTACACCTTTTTATTATTTCAAATATAGATCAATGAATTACATCAAAACTACAGGCAACAATTAGTATAAATAATACTTTAATCAGTGGCAGCAAAACATTGGTCAATTCTATTAAAAAAGCATCTCATGTGAACAGACTCCACGGGGCTGACTGACAATGTCATCTCACAAAAGGCTGCAATGGACAAAGTGAGATGGGGCTGGAGGAACAATATCCTCGACAATCACTTCATGGCCCCCCAGCCAGGACCCCAACACAGGTTAAAAAAAAAAAAAAACACCACCAAGCAAACACTTCTGGCTCATATTTGGGAAAACAAACTGGAAACAAATAATGGCAAATGGGTACTGGACCCTTCCCACATCTAGCTTTCTGAAGAGCACATTCCCAGATGGAAACTCATTTCTGCCCCTGCCCTAGATGGCTGAAGGACTCTGCCCCCTGGCCTGGCCCAATTTTGAGTGCCCAAATGGACACTAGGGTCGGACTGGGACTTCAGAGTTGGGAGCTGCCTTCTGGGCTGGCCAGCCTCCATTAACATTTCAAAGGACAATCCCTCAAAGCTGAGAAGGCGAGGTCAGACTTATAAACAAAGAAGTTGTTTCTCTGATTAAGTTACTTTCCAAAGCAGTGGAACTATATAAGAGGAAGAACTGGGATTTACTCTGGAAAACATCTCTCTCTCTCTTGGTTTTCCTTTGGGGAAGGGGCAACGGCAGGTAAGTAGGGTCACATATGATCCGAACCTGGGTGAGTAACCACAACTTCTCATAAGAGAGAAAAATCTATGTAATAATCTCCAGAATATCTATCTGTGTAGTTAGATATTATAAAAATATACACTTTCCCCCTCTCCCAAGTAGAAGCTGCAATATATGCAGATTTGGGTTTCAGCAAAGAATCTGAGCAAGTTTCCAAATTGCCTAAGGATAGAGACTCTTTTCAAATGCTAGCTACATCCAAAGACTGCTCTCCATGTTACAGAGGGGGAGAAAAGAAGAGAAGGGTAGTTAGAGTCCAAAAGGTTAAGGGTTTAGAGGTCAGTCCTCCTGGCTGAAATACAGCTAATCGAATAGAAAATTTGTCCTCTGGATGAACCTGATTCTGTAATTTAGCCGAACTTCAGTAAAATACCTTTTCAGCTTCTCAACGTGAGGGCGTCAGAAAAAAGACATCTTGACTATGTATGAACTCTGTGCTTTTTGTCATAGAAACAATGATGTGAATAATGCAGGAATATCCATCTTTAATATCCCGACGTGGCCATATTCAAGTATTGCCATGTGCAAGTCTGAGAGCCAGGCTCACCCCAAGGAGGAACAAAGAGCTGTCCCCAGGGTCTAACACAAAAGACCAAGGCTTGGAAGATACTTTAGAGAAGCGGAATTTCAGCCTAGGGACTCCAGTGAATACCTGCCCTTAGCTCTCAGGATACACACAACCAAAGAACATGCCTGCAGAGAAAGTCACTCCCTCTTCCACTTAAGAATATTTTGAAGAGTATCACTGAAACCTTCTAAAGAGGTCTGAAGCACTAAAAAAAAAAAAAAAAAAAAAAAAAAAAAAAAAAAAAAAAAAAAACCCTTAACCTTTTAGAATTAAATTTTAAGCTAACCCCTTCTCCCTCCCCCTTTTGTCACTTTTTAGTAACTGCAAACAGAGGTTTCTTTCTTGGAGCCTGAGGTTTTGGGCTTCAAACTTATGAAGACTTGTTTAGAGTATATGAACTCTGGTGGTTCTCTTTTCTCCTTATCCTTAAGGGTCAGCATTTCACAAAAATAAGCTTTGAACTCTTTCCAGACATGGCATAAGAAAAATGACTAAAAACATCTCTCTTGTTGTTTGAGAGTGTTTTTAAACCACTATTCTAAAGGCAAAGAAGAGGGCCTGAAAACTTTAATACTTTCACAATTTCTGCTTCTAATTAATGGTTTGAGAAAAACTTCCTTAGGTATTTTTTTCAAATTGAAACATCAAGAGGGGGGAATAAATCTACCAATTTTTGCTCCATGGCACAGCTTGTCTCTCTATAAGCAAATACTAATTCCTACAAAATACTTCTATGTGGGGTATTTGGGACATTTGGAATCCAGTTGGAACAGAAAACTCAAGTCATTATCTGATGACCCAGAGCATGGAGGTTTTGTTTTCCTTCCCCAGAAGGAAAATGTTGGACCATTTGTTTCTTTTTTGCCCTTTCCTTTAATCACCCAGAACTGGTTGTAAGCACAGTGTTGAAAAAATCACATGTGGAATTATATTTTTAAGAACTCAACTTTGAGTGGATCCTTCCCTTCTCTTTAAAAGGGTTAAAAGCCCCCTATACATATTTCCAGGGAGTTAGGAGGGGGTGGAGTTCAAAATGTAGGTTACAGCCAGAATCCAGTCTACATATCTGATTCAATTCCCTGAAGCTCAGGCCCTTCCACCATCTTTAAGATTTTTGGTATGAAGGTGTCAGTTACTTTTGCACCCAATCCCCCAACAAATAAATATTTAAGCAAATACAATCTAAACATAAAATAACCCGTTTTCATTTCCTTCTTAAACTTATTTCTTTGGGCATGGGGCCACTGTGAGCAAAACTTTTTTATTTATATAAATTACACTGGAAATTATATAGACAACCCAGAAATTCAGAATTGGCCCAGCTCTCCAGATCACACGGAGCACCTATCACAGGGGGGCCAATCTTCTGCCTCAACTCCCCCACATTACCAAACCACAAAACTCCCTGGAGGGGTGGAGTGGGGGAGAATGTCCAAATCCACAGAGATAAAGCATCCAACCTTCATTTGCAAATTCAAAATCCAACAGCAGAGATTTTCATGAGTTTAATGACTCCCACGTTTGTTTTATGTTCTCAGTAGCTTCTGCCATATGATAATATACTTAGAGAGAGAATCCCGCCCACCCCTCCCACCCCCATCTCCACTCTAGGGAGGGGGCTGCCCTCGGGCAGGATGCTAACCTAGTCCGAAGGCGGCCTGCAGGTCCCAGGTCCACCCCACAGTACCTTAGAGCCCAGCGAGGTCACAGCAGGCCCGGCCTGACCCCGCAGCTTCGGCTCAGCCTGGAGCGCAGGGAGGGATGGGCCCAGGAGCCTCACTTCTATAAGGTTGTCAGGTCCATGTGGTGGTCCTTGGTCATCGGCTGCAAATGCTGGCCAGGGGTGGCTGAAGAGGAGCAGGAGGAAGAGGAAGATGACGATGATGACCTGCCTTTAGTATTGGGCAGCTTGTGGTCTTTTTTCCACTTCATCCTCCGGTTCTGGAACCAGATCTTGATCTGGCGCTCAGATAGACACAGGGTGTGAGCTATTTCAATCCGACGGCGCCGCGTCAGATACCTGTTAAAATGAAATTCCTTTTCCAGTTCTAGGACTTGCTGCCGAGTGTAGGCCGTCCGGGAACGCTTGGGCTCTCCACCGGTGTAGTTGGGGTTCACTGCGAGACAAAACAGATGGCACGGTCAGGTCAGCACCCAGCCACTAGTTAGGCCCCTCGCCTCTGCTGCTCACTTCCTGGCGCGCCCCAAGGCCCGCGCCTCCCAAGCCCGCTGGCTTCCTCCCTCCCACCCTCTGCCTGGCCTGGCGCACAACCTCGTTCCCACCCACCCCTCACTCCCACTCTCTCCCAGGCTCGCAGTGCAGGATCCCCAAATGTGCTCCCTTCCCCCTGGCCCACCAGGAGCTCGGGAGTCCCGAAGCATTTTGGAAATGCGCTTCTTCTCCGGGTTCCCCGGGCTCTGCAAATGGAGTCCTCCCCCCACCCCACCCCCATCCCCACCCCTTTGCGCCCACAGCCAAGCAGCCAGCCACATGGTCCCGGCCTGCTCCCTCAGCTATAAAAATTTATGGGGAGAGTAATTGGAGCGCCCACGGAAGCTCCAGTGCCCCCACCCTCTCGCATCCCCCCTCCCGGGGGTCCTGGGCAGCGGGCTGGAGGTGGGCGCCCGGAGGAGGCTGGTGCCGCGCCTTACCCGAGTTCACGTGCACCTTTTTCATCCAGGGGTACACCACGGCCGGCTGCTTGAGCGTTGTCCCCGGGGGCGGCTGCTTGGGGCCGCCGGGCTGGCTGCAGGCCCGGGCGCCTGGCAGGGGCGCAGGCGGGGGCGCCGGGCACGGCTCTCCCGGGGTGCCGTAGTGTCCACCGGGGCCGCTCGCCTCCTGTCCGGGGCCCCGTGCGGGCAGTGCCGCGCCGGGCCCGGGCCCGCCGCCGCCTCCGAAAGGCTGCTCCCCGAAGTCGGGCCGCGGGTAGAGCCCGGGGGTCTGGAAGTCGGTGCCCTGTGCGCCGCCGCTGTAGTAGTCGGCGCCCTGCTCGCCTAGGTAGCCGCCCTGCAGATATTCCTCGCACGGAGGAAACTTGGGGTCCACATACTTAGAGTTCACCATATACGAACTCATGGCCATTAATTTCAGAAGGTAGAAAATACTAATTTTTCTCGTGTTGTCTTTTTTTCTCCTTCCATAGGGCCCTCCTACTTGCTGTCAACTGAATAAAGTTGGGCGGCCATGTGACCAGGGCAGCCAATGGGGAGGGAGCGAGTTTATCACCGGTTTGGTGAGCATCTCATAATTTTTACAAATTTAACTAAATAACATATGTGTAATCAAATGACTTGCCGTGCCACATTTGAGGGCCCCTGCCTGATGGTAATGTAGTTCCTATCTCCATCGCCCCTATTTTAAGCAGATAATCTCAAATCTTTTGTCTCCACTGACTTTTGCTAACCTCTTCTGCCTTCTCCGCTCACCTCGATGGAAGCACCCTCTCAAAGTGGGCACAGTGCAAGGGAGAATGAATACTTTTATTGGGTGCAAGGCGACAAAAGGTGGGTGAATGGGGTAGCCTCTGAGTTGGGCACTTTGCCCGCCCAGCGGCCAGAGTAGGGATTCTGCCATACAAAGACTGAGACCCGCTTTGTCCTCATCAGGGTCACCCAAAAGTTACCAGAATCTGGCAGGCCTGAATTAAGTTAGGCAATGAGTAACCACCATGCTTTTCTTACAGGTGCCCAGGCCAGGCTGTTGCTAGTCAAAGCTGGGCCTTGCTGATGTGGCAACAGCCATGGATGCCCAGGTTCTTGCAGCTGAGGGTTGGGCCCAGAAGGTGATGAGGTACCCTCGCCTCACCTAAATGCCCCCTAAAGGTTTCTACTGGTCTTTTATCTCAGCTGGCTTCCCTTGCCCCGACAAGGTCCCCAAAACCCAGTTAGTCACCACTTGTGTATATTTATATCTCATGCTCTGGGGAGGGCAGAGATGAGGGGGAACTACCAGGGATGCTTCACTCCCCAGCATCCCCAAACCTAACTCTTTTAACCCAGTGTTCATGCAACCAGTTAGGGGTTCTTTTTGCTACAGCAGCACCGACTGAAACCTCTATTTAAAGGTGAGGAGCTTCTTGAGGAAAAAAGCTGTGCTACGATGTCACCAGGGACAGTGGATCTTCCCTGGAACAGAAAGAGGTGGCTAACCCACACCCTCCACCTCCATCTCTTGCCATTTCGGAGAAATGTGAAGTTTTTGCATCGACCATATATTCCCCTAGAATCGAATCTGTGACTATGTGGATACCACACAAATTCGGTTCTACAGGGTATATATAGACAACGTTACAACCTTCGGGTCCCACCCGAGACAGATACTCAAACTGCTGCCAGCCCTAGTCTCTTCCTCAGACCCACCACCAGCCCGACGCAGCCACCCACGATTTCAGGGACAGTTCAGGTAGTCTGACAAGCTTGGTGACAATTTGCAGCAATGAGTTCCCTCATTCTTTTCCCAGGGCTGGTGTTACCGAGCAGCTGAGCAGCAGCCAGATCATTCTTTAAAAAGAAAAGAAGAAGAAGAAAAAATCCATCCTAGAGATGGCGGCTTTATCATTCCCCTCTCAGGATCCCCAAACCCTCCCCCTCTATCAAGTGGTATTTTCCAAAAAGAAGCAAATGCCCTCATCCTCATCGGCAGGAAAAAAAAAAAGAGGCAAGAGGGAAATATCCTTTGCCTATTTTTTTTTTTCTCCACTGCCTCGCCAAGCCAGGTTGGTGGCCAACCTAGTTCTGTAAGAAGTCATGCATTTACCTTCCTGGGCCCTCAGCCCCGCTGGCCTCTCCGTGTCCCCGCGGCTTCTACTGCAGACCCCGAGGCAGGCGCTGCTCCCAGGCACCAAGCCGCCCTGGTCTGAGACAGGCACACTAATGGTGAAGGGCAGGGCGTAGGGTCATTCGAAATCATTTACAAACATATCACAAAGTTTCATTATTTTTGCTTTGCCGACAGCAGCACACAAGAGTACAAAAGTTCACCAATTTTGCCCGCCCCAGCGCCTCTGTCCTGTCCAAGGCTTGCCCCTTAGTTCAGGGCACCTAGGGCGGAGCCGCACTCAGGAACCAGACAGATTTCAGGAGCAGTGGGCTACCCTGGCTTGAGTGGGGCTTTTGGATGACTGCTAGTAGGCCACAGATGTCCAGTTTCTAAAACATTGTTTGGATTCCCCTGTCTCTCCATAATTCAAAAACCAGTATCAAACAGGGCCTGAGCGTGGTGGGGGTGGGACAGAAAGGCTCCCCCTACCAACTGCAAAGTTGACCACTGGCTTCTCCTCAAAGCACTCACATGTTCCCCTCAATCCTTTGGTACCAGTGATTTAACTATTTTCAGGGATTTTCGGGGTGCCAAGTCTAACAAGGGCTCTAGCTACCAAATCTGTTCCTCCCAGGACAATCCCCCCAGTTTCCCCAAATGGCAAAGTGTTTTCCCCCACCTACCTTTCTGGGGACTCTGGGCCTATCTAGACTTTATCCATACAAACTGGGGGACCCGCTGGGCTGGGTGGGGATCCGGGCGAGTGTACACATTTTCATATTTGTTAGACGCTGTGACCTGCATTTCACCTTATTGCTCGACTTGTTCAGACAGGTCAAAGCCAACGAGTTATTGATGAACAAAAGCGTTAAATATTCACCTCCCTCTCAACTGCCCATACTAATGCTTTTGATCTCTCAGGCTTTTTGTGCTGTGTTCAGTTGCAAGGCGCCAAATGTGAGTTTGCAAGCAAGCAGCCTCGGCAGAGATAAGCACTAAGTCAAGGCAGCAGGAAAAGGGGGGCCAGACCAGGAGATTGGGGGAAACCAGATTTTCAGCCTGGAACCCAGAACCTGGTTCACTGGAGCCAGCCTGGTTCATAAAGGGGAACTATGTGCTGGGCGGATCTCAACTTCTGTGGGTGAGCACAGCCTCCAGAGGGTCCACTGGGCTACTCAGCCTAGCAGGGCAAAGAATTCTGGCCCTGCACCTAGTGCTGGGGTCTCCAACCATAAAGAGAGAGTGTCTCACAAGACAGGGAGGATGCCTGCTTCCTGCAGTCCTGCATGACCCATCTTTCTCTAAAATAAAATCATCTTCATTTTGCAGGGAGAGAGGGGCCATTCGTTTTCTTCCTTGACTCTCCCACCACAACCACCATCCTAATGAGATGGTCCTCCTGGAGACCAGAAATGTATCTGTCTTCCAAAGTACAAGCAACTCAGAAAAATCCAAACTTTGGAGCTGAGGAATCCAAGAGTCGCTGGTCCCGCCCCATTATGCTTCCTTATGGCATCAGAAACTCTGACGCAGAAGTACTTGAATTGCACTCACGGAGGAGGAGAGGTGCACAGAAGAACAGAACTGTATCTTCTCTGCTCAGCCAGGTCCCAAACCCAGGATGCACACCACGGAAGCTGGGGCGGGGGAGAGTGAAGGAGGGCTGTGCTCCTGCAGCTGGGACCACGCAGCCCCTCCCAGAAAATAGGCCAATCAGCCCGGCTAAGGCCATTGAAGATTGTTTTTGTTATTTTTAATAAACGTTAAAAGAAAAAAACACAGAAGGTTGGGCTAAATTGGGCCGGGTTAAACTGCGCTGGGTTACAGAGGGGGTCGTCTTCCCCAGGTTTACTGTGTAGGTTCCGGTGGGATGTGATGCTCCCCTGCTTAGGGTGGGCTGCTAGTGAGCTGCAAGCTCCTCACTGAGGCCAGCGCTCCAGCGGCGTTGCACCTGTGCCAGCTGGCAGGGTCTGGGGAGACCGACAGGTCCCAGGAGGCCCGCGAAGGAGAGGACAAGGGGAGACACCACTGTGTTCCTTTAGGCAGTGACTGTGAACTAGGCCCCAGGAAGGCTGCCTGAGTTCAACTTTGAGCCTCTACCTCCCCCAGCGGGCCGCTGGCCAGGCCTGGGAGGCAGAGCCGCAGAGCCGCTGTTCCTGGCGCAGCACTTGCCCCCCACCTCCCCGGAGGAAAACCCGCCTGTCCCTCTGCTATTCTATTCGGAAGAAACGGGAAGGTACTCACAGCGGCGCTCTCTCGGTCCCGAACCTGTTGCAATGAAAAAGGAGGTCACTTAAATTTAACAGGATAATAGAGCAGAAATAGATGACACAGAAAAATGACAAAGCCAGACACCCCACTAATACCTGGACCTCTCTGCTCTGGGCGCCTGCCTCCCAGGGAACTGTGCAAAGGTCTCCATGGACTGTAGTTCTCCAGGACAAACCCACAACATGAGAGAATTCAGTGCCCATCACCACCTCCACGCCTCGCACCCTTAAATAATACCTTCCTGGTGGTTTGGTCTGTATCCAATTGCCTGTAACAGGGTTTCCCCAGTGGGAAACCGGGAAAGGAGAAGAAAATGGGCCTTTGTGTGGTTTCTTCTGCACAATTGGTTTGGGTGGATGGAGGTCCGTCTGTCCCCTTCCCCAGCTCCCCTATCTAGCTCTGGGAACAATTCAACTTTCTTTCCCCCGTTTCAAACTGGTTTTAAATTCCACAGCCCCAACCAGTAACCCCCAAAACTGGGGGTTCCTCTTCCCAAAAGAAAGATAAGGCATAGCTGGGACTTGCTTTCCACTTCTCCAATTCAAAACAAAGACCGATTTCTAGGGGTAAATGAGGACCCAAATGATAATCAAGGAGAAGAAAATCAATAGGTTTAAGGGTAAATGACAATACTTTAGAACGTTATCTAGCTCTTAGGGGTATGACCAATTTTTCAGCATTGCTGCAGGAGACACACAGACCAATCTTACAAACTAAGTCTTCTAAGAGTGAGTATCCAGCTTTAAGTTTTTGGTCTTCTCCAGTTTTATGGTAGGATAGCAATCTTTCTGAGACATCTCACGGGCAAAGCCATCTCCACAATCATCTTCCCCCAACCCCAGTGTTTTATCCCACTTCTGAAGCGATGCTCTAAAAAGCAGAAGAGAGAGACAGAGTTCTTGTGAGGTGAAAGCTCTCTATTCTTAACTCTCCAGGTCCAGAAGAGAGAAGAAAGAAAATCAGGATTCCCATTCTAGGTATTAATTTAGATTCAGGTTAAAATTGGAATTAACTTCAGTGGTACTTCCCCAAGAAGAAAGGCAAGGCAGAGAAAATCCCCGCTCTGGAGTTGTTGAAGAAAAAGTAATATAAGTGACTTACTGGTTTGCTTTCCTAGTGGGCAGGGGAGCTGGGAGCAGCACTGTGTCCTCCTGAGCCGGGCGCTGGCTGGAGCCTCTCACTTTCCTATCGCTGCTCCAGGATCCAAGCATCTGCACTTGTATGCTCTTAACCTAATTTATGGTGGGAATTATATTTTGGCTTGTCAACTCTCAAGCCATAAAACAAAGTTTATTGGAATCACGTGCTCGTAAATAGCCACTCAGGTCTCATCTCTGCAGAACCATAAATAACCTTTGGCTTTAAACTTTTATTCACTAAATAAAGCTTCACTGCAACTGTTCCTTCAGATTTAAGTAGTTCCAAATATCCAGAATGCAAGGGAGGTCATATTCATATCAATACCCCAGGCTTTTCAAATAGCATCTTTTCAGAGAAGCCTGCTTAAATTGGGAGATAGTGCTATTTGAAAAAGGCTGGTTGGTGGGCATGTCTTATGATTCTTTGGCTGCATTCACTGTGAGTACCATCAACTCCTTTATTTCAATCCTTTTTAGCTTTAGATGTGATACGGAAGAATGTCCAAAGCCACTTCTTGTGTATGCCAGAAGTTGGGAATTATTTGGGATTTCATGCAAGTTTCTATAAAGAAAGTGGTTAGGGAGAGGCTGGGTGGGCTTGGGGGATGGGGTGGCAGTTGGAATTAACAGTTGGCTTCCTCTGTATTGTTGTGGATGGGCTCAGTGAAAGTTGAAGATAGCCACATGACTAGAGGTTTCTATAATTTGCTTAGATCTAAAAGAGACGTCTTTGCAAGTGACCAAACTGCTTAAAACAGCAAGACTTAGGGTTTGGTGAAGTGAGAAAGTGGAGAATAGCCCATCGGAATCTCTGGCAACTGAAGCTCTATAGGAGGTTATAAAACAATAAAACAGACCTGGTGTGAAGGGGACAGGGTGTGAGGAGGCAAATGAGACTCTCAAGGAACCCAAGCCCAGGAAGTCAGATGTCCCTCTCCCACCATAGAGCTCAGGGCTTCCCTGAGTATCCAAATCTGGGCAGGGTCCCCAGCAGAGCTCCTTGTCACTGCTACCCCCACCATGGGACAGCCTAAGAGAGAAGAGAGTGTATGTCAGGGCCTGCTGAGAGAGCCAGGGAAAAGCGCTTGGGCCCAACTCTGCTCAACAGGAAAATGTGCTTCAGGGAGGAGGGTGAGGTGGGGGTGGGGAAGATGCGCCCAGCTCCACTGAGAAGCAGAAATAAAAAAAGAATTCACCTCCCAGAACCTTTCAGTGGTCCACCAGAGTTGCCACCAGTGTGAAGACCTGATTTTGACTATTATGAAATAATGAATTTTCTGTGCTGATTTGTAGAGCTCTCACACACACACATACACACACACACACACACCCCAAGTCATATGTGATTTCTAAATCAAATTCAATTGCAACAGTTCCGTCATAAAGGCTGCTTAAGTCTATAAAAGAGATTCCCTGTACAAAAATATCTGCCTCCCAATTTCCACTCCATCCCACATAGATTTCCAAGCTTAATTTGACCTTGATTAGCAAGAAAACAGAGGGCTGTTAGACTAGACCTTAGGACATCCTTTTCCCTCCTTTTTTAGTCCATTAGCCAGAATTTTTTTTTTTTTTTTTACAATTGGTGGCACTTGTTATTAAAATAATGGGCAAAGATAACTTCAAAAATGTTTTCTGAAAAGCAAATGTTTTCAGGATCAGGGATTAGCTCAGTGGCTCCTGCCTGGCAAGCACAAGGGTGTAAGTTCGATTTCAGGTACCAAGAAAAAAAAAAAAAAACAAACATGTTTTCTGATTATTAGAAAAGGTGAGCAATTTTTAAATTAAACCTTATTAATCACTTGTGGAAAAAAATCAAAGCTGAAAGCGTTGTAAATAGCTTTATTTTTCTTTAAATTAATACAAGTCAGTCAATGGACATGTGATTTTTCGAGGCAATGGTGATGAGCTTTTTATGGGGCAGAGGTACAGAGAAGCCACATCAGAGGAGGAGCAGTGGCTGACCTAAGGGCTGCCCAGTAGGTATTTCTGAATGAATGGCGATGAAGAAGGGTGCTTGAGATTTGCTTGCAGCAGTCACTGTAGAAGGTGACTTTATGCAGCCTACTCTGTCTTATTTAGATAACAAAGAAAAGTAGCTGTAAGTAAGGAAGAGGAGAAAAGAAAAGAGCACTTTAAAAATGGGCATCTTCAATTTGTTTCTGGTCTTAGGACACCCAGGAAAAATGATCAAAGAGCAGATGTTCACCTTCCTACAACTGTCCATTGTCTCCACCCGCCACAATGTTCTTGGCTTCTGTGGATAAAAGTGAGAGTGGCAATGGGACTAGAAGCTTGGCATCAGTGGTCAGAGAATAGTGAGCATGATGTGATTTGTTTGGGTTTTCAAGGGCTTTCCATGGAAAGTGACTGGAGAGGACTGGGGGTGGGGGAGAGACTGAGCCTTCTTAAACACCTGTAATGAATGAGTTTCAGGGTAAAGCAGGATTCTGGGTGCTGGGTAAAGTCAGTTTCTAGCATTTCTGACTAGTGAGCTCCCGTAAGATAGGATGCTTTGTAGGACTCCTCCAGCCCAGAAACCACAGTTGTTGCCAGGAAGCAGAGAGGAAATGGGTCCCACCAAGCAGCAGCTCTCCTCCCCACGGGACAGAGGTCAGCCCTCTGCCCACCCTAATGAGCCCTGTGATTTGGCTCCAGAAAAGAATACCTCGATCTTGTTTGTTCCCCCTACCACCACCAAAACTGAGGATTGAACCCAGGAGGCCTTTACACTGAACTACAGTTTTGGTCACTTTTATTTTTTTGAGACAATATCTTGCTAAATTGCCCCCAGATGGATTCAAACTTGTGTTCTTCCTGCCTCAGCCTCCCAGAATCCTTAGGAGTACAGGCATGCGCCACCACACTTGGGTTGTTATTGACTATTAAATGTCCTCTAGCTTCTTCTCTTACTTATTTGATTTCAAGACCTTTACTTTTATTTATTTTCAGTCATTTTTATTGTCTATATAGATTAGTAAGCTTCACTGTGGCAGATGCTCATAATATGGTTTGATTATATTTGTCCTCCATCACGCCTTTGCCATGCTTTCCTCCCTTAGATTCACATTTTTTGGTGGACTTTATTGTATTTTACTGATGTCTACTGCCTCTCCTATTAGAAAGTTTGTATAACCAGAAGGGATAGATTTGGATAAGGATTTGCATGAACTTTCTGGCCAAAGGCAGATGGAACAGGAGCCCTAGTTCCCATATTTGGACACCAAACTGGAGTTAGAGTTAGAGCCAGAGAAGTACTGAGCAAGTGAGCAGGTGAGCAAGGAACTGTAAGCAGGACAGAACGTGCGTATTTCTGCTATAACTGAAAACACAACACTTTTATTTCTTCTCCTCGACACACTCGCTCATTGGCAGTCTAGTCTGGAGTTCTTTGGGTAGAAGAGGTGACATCAAATAAAAAGGCCAACAGTGGGATAGGAGATGCCCTCCTGCCCCCACTCCCAGGATGCTTAACTCAATCAGGACCAGGGACTAGAGAGTTTCCAGTGGTCTGGAGAAAGGCAGTAGCTAAGGTAGCTACGTAAGTTCCAGGACTAGGGTTAGATGGCACAGGAGTTCGTGTAGAGGGGTCCAGTGCCACCATCCTAGGCCACAGGCTGAATTCTGCCTAACACAGCTGCTAGCCAAAGAGAATAGGCATTTTCAGAGACAATCTGATTTACATGAACTACTAGTTAAATCTAAAGATGCATCTTGGCCAAGGGCTGAGGGGGCCATGGTAGGAAAAGTAAACAGGCAGATGCCACAGAAGCCAGAAGCTCCAGAAGCTCAGGAGCTAAAACCGGTTACAAGGAGTATGGCAACTCCTCATAAAAGATTAGAGCTTTTGAGGAGTAAAATGTCTCTAACATATTCCTTGGCATCACTCTAACACAAACAGATTAAAATTTGGAGAGGAGGGGCTCCTTAACTTCCTCTGCTGTTGCCATTTGGCTTTTAGCCTCCCACCCCACCTTAGATTTTGAGAGGCTGAAGATGGTCCTTGCTCTGAGGCAGCAGAAAAACAAGAGGAACAACCACCCTGGAGGTGTGGCTGATAGGCCAGGTGGGGATGAGGAAGCTGACTACAGGAGATGGAGAGGAGAGTAGGGCCTGCCCTTCGGAAAGCTCTGAAGTCTTTTGCAAGAGTAAAACACTAGCCTGTGTGAGTGTGAAGCCTCCCACCAAGGAGCTAGGAGTGCTTTCTTCCTTCTGGTGGCCGAGATACATTAGGTACTAGATACTGAAACCCAACAGACCAGGGGCTATGAGGCCCACCACAACAATAGGATAGGGCTTGGAACTATGTCCTCCTAAATCCAATACTTCTGTACATCCAAGCTTCTGCTTGTTGTAGAATTCAAGGATTGGATGAGTGATTCAGGTCTTTTTTTGGCTGCAAAAGTCTAGGCCTGTTGCTAAGCATAAAAGGGGTACTAAGAAGGAACATGTACTGAGTTCTTACATCTCAAAACACCATTTTAAATATGAAACTAATGAGTCAGTGTACATGAAGTAGTTAGTACCTGACACACAGCGCTTATAAGTGAAAATCTTTGGAGCAATCTGGGAAGGCATTCGTCCCTACTTTTCAAAGGAGAAAACAGACCTAGGGAGTCTAAGATCACACAGCAGACAGTGGTAGTGCATGGACTTGAACCTAAGGCAGTGTGAACACAGAAGTTGTTCTCTTTGAGATGGCTAGGTGGGGGAGGGGGCAGTGACAGTATGAAAAAAAAAAAAGAAAAAAATCATGAATGGAGCCCCAGGAGCTCCTAGGGATGCCCTTTTGTAGAGAGAGAGAGAAGGAAAGCAGCAAAGAACCAGGCAGGAGGACTGCCACAAAATGTGTATCCTAAATGCCTTGGACATTCTGATTCTCTAGGTCTGGCATGGAACCCAGACACCTGCTTTATAGACAAAGAAATCTGGGTGCAAGTCTTCCCCAAGAATCATTGATCTAGAGTAGGGAAAGGAGGAAGCAAGTGTCTGCATCACTAGGAGACAACAGATCAGTGGGATTTGGGGTCAGACCCAGTTGTTAAAGTAGGGTGTCACCCCTGATGTAAGAAATAAGCGGACTGGCAGGAGAAGAGTATGTTATGGTGTTGAAAACAGATACGCACATCTACATAGTTTTGATTCGTGGTGCAAGGCCCGGCCTCCATAACACTGCTGAAGACCAGCATGATGCGGTACAGAGCAATTTTCAAGCAAAAAAAAAATTTTTTTGGCCCTGTTTCTTAGAGGGTACATATAGGTCTAACTCGTTCTAAGAGGCAAGAGAGGGGCTGGTTGGGACCGTTGGCTGGGAGCAGCTTGCTCCCACCCCCTCCTCCAAGGCACAGCGTGTGGGAATCGCGCCCCCTCTGGGAAGGCGGAGGAAACGAGGTGTCCTGTTTGTCGCCGCCCCACCCCCGCAGCCTTTAGGCTCTGGGTTCCCGAAGCCGCCTTCTCTGTCCACCGAGAGAAGCGACCTCTGAGGATGGAGACAGCACCGCCGACCCTCGTCCCAAATCCACTGCACCTTGCACGCGAGAAGGGGACAGGTGGGGGAGGGGCGGCTCTCGTGTCCTCCCAGTCCCCGCCCACTTGCGTTGGGGCAAAGGCGGCGCAGCTGCAGCAGGCGAGACACTTGTCCTACAGCGCCTCCTCCTGGACAAGGCGCTAGACTGCGGAGCGGGGAGAGCACGCCGCCTGGAGAAACCCGAGGTCAGGATCTTCCTCCGCGTGGCGGAGGGCTCCCCGCACCAAGGCCTCACCGACCTTGTCTCCGAGGGAGGCCAGGAGGAGTTGAGAGGATACTGAGATGCTCCCCTCCCACGCTCCCTGTCCCCGGCACACACGACCAACAAACTCAAGGCCAGAAACGGGCACCCTTCATTCATTAGGGGAGCCCAGGTGCAGGATCCCTCCAGCTTGTCCATTTATTTATTTATTTACTTGACGGCTTTCCACAGCGCCGCTGTCCCCGGAACTCTCAACCCTGCAAGTGCTGGAGTAACAAGATCCAGGAACGATTACCCCGAAGGATCGGCCTATATTCGGAGGTTTGAACAAGCACCAGGAGGAGAAAAGGCCTTTTCCCAAAGCAGACGCACTATGCAAACCCCTCCCCCACAGATATAGGTACATCTTTTGGAAAGATTTCTTCTACTTTGGCTACTAGCTTATATTTTCAGTCTGTTTCTAACCCCCAGATTTAAATCGGGGTGGGAGGAATCATGATTGAAAATAATGTAATTGATGATGGGCAGAGCTATTTGACTATATTTAGACAGAAGGCTGGAATAAAGGAAATGAGAGTGGTGAATCCAGAGGCAGGGGTAACGGAAAGCCCTGGTTCTAACCTCCTCCACCGAGTCCCCTGACCTCCTATCCGACCCTCGCTGAGTCGGGGCTGGATGGCCTCACTGCACATGCGCGGGACGCCCGGGGAGCACGCGTGGCTCGCCTCTTGGGGCTCTACGCTGTACTGCACCACACACTGCGCCCGCGCTTGGCTGCATGCGGGCTTGGCAGCCCCATGTGAAAGAGACAGCGAGTGCACTTTTCCTTTTCAGGAAAACCTGTATGAAAACCCCTAACCTTTCTGCTTCGCTGGCCCTGGTCTGCCTCACCAACAAAATCTGCATGTTGCCAGTGACCACACTCAGCTTTGGCTTTTGGATCAGAAATTTCACGTCCGTCCGTAAGACCCTTACTTCCCCTGAGTCGTCTATCAAGACAGGAAAACCACCCAGTGTCCAGCAAGCACAATATCTCTCTCATTCTGCAAGACCAAGTTTAAGAGACCAGTTCCTAAAAAGACGGTATCTGTTTATATCATTTCTGAAAAAGAGGCCCTAGATTGGATTCAAATCGGAATTCCGGGTCCGTAGTTTCTCCCCACCTTCCGGTGCCCCCACATACCCTGCCCATTCGCCGCACTGCGGCAAAGGCCGTAAATACCTCTAACAGCTGCCTGCCAGCCCAGGGTGAAATACTGTCTTTGTTCCTATTTCTTCTTTCTCTCAGGCTCAGAGACCAGAACTCTGGAGAAAAATATTTATTTACAAGAGCATCGGACGGGAAACACACTTGGTTTTCAGTCCTTGTTCTTGGCTTGTTTGGATTAACGAGCTTCATTCTTCTCCTGATCCACCCAGAGATCTCAAGGCCAGCTCCGAGTTTGACCCGTAGATACCAAGGCCCCGACAGGCTAATCTATAAATGGTCAGAGGTTTGGGCCAAGACTCTGGGACTTACACTTCCAGCCGGCCTCATGGCTCTTGTAGTACCTTTTAATTTCGTTTCCTTTTTTCTCTCTTTGTTTTAAGTAGGGTTAACAGAGACAAAGGGGACAATTCTGGCAGTGGCAACAGCCTTAACTAGTTTCCTCCAGTATTAAATGACCTGAGTTCAAATGCATTTCATGGATTATTTAGTCCTCTACATGCAACTGACAATTTCTTTCCAAGGACTTCCTAGTGCTGCTAGGACACATACAAAGAGTCACTTAGCTCTCTGTATCTGCCCATGACATCACTGCACACAGGGTTTCAGTCACTTGAGCTTGTTGAACCACCACATCGAACCCAAGGAAAAGTGATGGAAGCTCTGGACCTACAGATTAGCCATCAGACCCACAAATCCACCAGCATCCTCTCCTGCTCCTGGTCCCAGTGGACCTCGGACTCGGACTCCCTCAGATCCAGAGCTGCCCCCAGCAAGGCCTACAACCCGGTTTAGGGGCCTGCTTTTCAATAGGGAGTGTAGATTACTGATATCAAAGAGTGATCTCCAGGCCATCATTATGCAGTAAGGAAATAGTTACAAATCACAGATACTCTACATGGAAAATAACACTCCAGAGTTTCCCACTTGTAAGTGGTCATCAGAGGTTAGTGACCCAAGACAATTCTGCAGATGTCACCTGGCCACATATTGTGATCCTCCATTTTGAAACGAATGTGATTCTGTCGTTAATTGTTAAAAACACCAGTCTACAAATATATCCTTTATTTTTTTAAAATGTTTTTACGACTGACGTTGTTAACCTGTAACGTGTGGATGTACAATAAGCTAGGATTTGCCGCTATGTGCTTCGTGGAAGGCACGCCGCCATGCGCACGTCAGCTCCATACGCAATGCGGCAGATTTTGTGAAGGTTTTCATGTCTCACAATGTGCTTACGAGGGACTGCATCCAAATGCCATTCAAATCAATGAGAAAAAATATTTTCTGGCAAAAATTTTTTAAAAATACATAATTTTTTGGTTCAGTGATTTCGAAGTATAGAGGAAATTATATAATATTATCAGGTTTTTAAAAAAACCCAATACAGATAAAAAGCAAAGAAGATCTATTCTTCCTACTCTGGCAAATGGAAAACACACGCAATGTTTGAATTTAGAAATGCTTTGCATTTCTGAAATGTCTACTGGGTCTATCCTATGACCTGCACCAAATTTTCTGATACTAATCCAAAACATGTATTCATTTTGTTACATATAAAAATCCAAATTCATCTGACAGATCATCTGTCAGGTGTGTGAGGACCATATCTTGAGTTATTACAAAAACTCTCCCCCCAAAACTAGGGAAACTTAAAACATTTAAGATTTCATCTCATGCACAAGGCCCAATAAACCATACACTCTAGAAATCACCATCATTCATTCACAGCCTAGATTCAAAAAACCAAACACATAGTGGATAGACAGAAATCACCCCAAACCCCATCCAGAAGCCCTAACCCTCGACAAAACAAAACACCTGTTATCCTCTGGGGTACCTCTGACCAAACACAAACTGCAAACCCACTGTCCTATACTACAGGGTGACTTCATTAACTCCTCACCCCCAGCAAAGCGGGCACCATCTGCACACCCTTTTCCCAGGCAGGGATCCAGGGGGTCTCCATTTGGCAGCAGGGCCCCTAGCTGCTGCTCCCCACCCCTCGGGATCTCCGGAGGAAACTGCATTTCCCCTTTCCACTTCTAACCCCAGCAGGACCCCACCCCGAGCCCCAGGGGACAGCCTGGGACGGAATGGCTGGTGGCCTGGGGAGCTGATGGCGACCCCCCGGTTCCAGGGAAGCCTGGGGGCCGGCCTTGCTCCCCGGGGTGCCCAGGGCCCCCTTGGCAGTCCTTGGGCTCCGAAGGGGCGACTCTTACCGGAGGCTGCCGAGCCGGAGGCGGCGGCGGTCGGCCCGGGCGGCTGCCGTAATCCACGAGGCGCTGCCGGGCTGCGCGCCCTCCCGGCGGCGGGGACCGGCTCATGGTGCCGGAGGAACCGCGCGGGGCCCGCGGCTGCCCGCACCGGGTGCGGGCCTGTCGGCGGGCGGCGTCGGCCGGCGCCCCGGCTCTCCCGGCTCCCCGCCGGGCTCCCCACCGGCCTGGAGGCGGGAGCCGAGGCCGCGGCGCCCCCGCAAGCCCGCAGCCGGCTGCCGGAGCCCACCTCTGCAGAGACAAAGGTTAGCAAAAGAGGGGGTGAGGCTCCGGGAAGGCAGAATGCGGGGGGAAACTCGCCTGGGAAATCAGGAAAAAGGCCGTGAAGGCGAGCGGCGCCTGCACATGACCAGCCGCAGCCAATGACGACCGCAAATAGGTCATAAAAAGGTCTATTACCAAGTTGTAAATTTTCTTCAAACAAAAAGGAATTTACTGCAATTCCTTGCGGATTTTGCACATACAGCTCGCAAGCGCCATGTTTTTTCCTCTCTCTCTCTCTCTCTTCCCTCCCTCTATCTTCTGTCGCTCTGCGCTCTTGCCTCCTCCTCTCTCCCTTTTCTCTCCTTCCCTCTCTTCTTACTCCCTCCTTTCTTTCTGTCTCACTGTCCTCCTGTGTTTCTCTGTCTCGTCTCTCTCTCTTTTCTTAGGAAAAAAATTTTTTTTTTCAAATTTGGCTGAAAATCGCTGTGCGGGTGGGCCAGCCTCGTAAGTCGTGAGTGCGAGTACTGCTGGGTGCTGGCCAGGCTGTCCCTACCGCACCCCCCCCCAGTCTCCCCCTACACGGGTCACTCGGCTTCTCCTCCCCTCCCCGTGAGCGCGCGCACACACAACCGCTGGTGGGGAAGGGCAGCCAAGCACTTTCGGTTTTTACCCTCTCATCTCGGGCAGCCCAAACCCAGTGATCTTGCCCAGGAATTCTGGGCAGTGAAGACCAAGCAAGGACGCTGTTTGGCCCCACTCCACTCCAAAGTAAACTGAGGTCCCGCCCATTTCCTGGGGGTTTCTGCGGTGGGACAGTCACCAACCAGCCCAGAGGCCTGATATGGTTTTAGGTACTTGTCAAAATACTCTCCAAAATACCATTTTGGGTGCCTACTTCCTGGTCTTCATCTCCATAGAAACCTCGGGAAGGCCTAGAGTTAAAGAAATAATCTTTCTGGATGTCCAGTGACACCCCTCTCTTTAGGCCCCTTCTAAGAACAGTTACCAGTTTTATGGAATTTAATCTAGCTCGCCCTCCCTGGTTGCATCCTAGGTGTTTTGCCATTGAAGAGCCTACTGCTGCAATTCTGAAGAGAGAGAGGGTTTCCATTCCTTCAGAAAGACAATTTGGTTCCCCAAAATCAGCTTAGAAAAAAGGACCTCTTCCTCAAAGGCAGACTCACCTCTTCTTTGCATTTATTGTTGGACCTGCCCTGGGGAACACCTGAAAGTAAATGTCCTTGCTGGTCCCCAGCATTCCTCTCCCAGGCTTGGCTGTACATGCTTCAGTACCTGCCTGAAAGAGAGAAGCACCACCTTGCCCCAGGGGTTCTAGCAATATGTTTGTAAGCGTGTGCATTGGATATCTGTGTATAAATTCTCTGCTGTTAACATTTCACACACAGTAAGTTGCTAAGTAGATGGTGACTTCAGCAGGAAATGGCACTGCATCCTCTAGGGCAGGTCATTTGTAGCCCATGAGAAAGTTCCAATGACCTTGTATATTTTTATTAAAGGATTCCTGTTGCTATATGTCAGCAAAAGTCATTTTTTTCCTAAGCCAAGCCAGTGGGCCCTCATTCTGCTGGAGGAAACCAGACCCAGACCGGTAGCCAGGGTCCATTGAAATATTCAGTATTTCTCTATCCACCCCCAGGTGACCAAGGATTCAGCAAACACCAGGAAAACAGAGGACACATGGATGTGAAATAGCAATATCTTCTGCATCAAATAATAAAAATATGCTTTATTACATGGCAAATGGGGCAAGTTATTTGGCCCTCCCACGCCTGGAACAGTGTATACTGCTCGGTACACTTGGAACTGAGCAGAGATTATTCAATTCTAAAATTTTCAGAGAAATAATCTCAATCAATTTACCTTTTTAGCTTCTCCCTTTCTACTCAAATAAAAGCGGAGCTTTATGACCCTCCTTTTCATCTCGGGGAATGGGGCCGGAAAGAAGCTTGCACCGAAAGGGCAGCCATATTTGCATGTTTCCCCCTGCGCAGAGGTACACGATGTATTGATCCTTGCGGAATTTTACAAAATGGCATCCCTGAACTGATTTCTTTAGAAGCCAGGGAGCTCTCCACACTCTTTTGTGTGTTTCTCATCCTTGCAAACAGCCTAAGTCACCCCAAAGGCTTGGCTCTTTCAATCTAAGTTAACATTAAAGAGCCCCAATATTTCTTTAAACAGTTTACTGAACTGTTTCAAGGCAATGTGAAGGCAAACTATCTCGAGGCAGGCTGCGGGAGTTCCAGGCAAACAGAAAAAACACCTGCCTGGGTTTACAAAGGGTACACTGAAGGTTTATGCAAATTTCTGCAGCAAAAATGTTTGGTGTTGCCATAATGCTTACGTGTATATAGTGTGTATACATCTGAGCCAATTAGGAAGGCGTCCTGTGTGCTCCTCACTGCTCGTCAGCTGGAGATACCATGATGGGGGGTGGGGATGCCTAGCTATTGTAAGAGAAGGTGGTTGAATGCATTTGTGAGATGCGAAACTTTGTCTTTACTTACAGACAAATCTACGAGATTTCCTAACTACAAGAGGAAACATAGATATCTACATTATAACCAACACTTTTTGCATGTGATATGTGTACAAATTGGTACCCTCAATTACACCAGTTATTCTAACAGTAGTTTTCGGTACATGACCTATGATTTTTATCATGGTTTAGGGGTCTGATGGGCAAGAAGGTACATTTCTGAAGCAGTGCTGAAAACTGCAGAAATGACATTTTCCATTGTCTTCCTTTTCACATCCACCATGCATTGTGTCCCTTACCTGCATGTTACAAAATCAATAGGTTTAAAATTGGCATCTGGGCACATTCTTGAGCGGCAAACAGCAACTTCTGCTACTAAGCAAGATTTCCTTATCCAGGGCAACTGGAATGTAGCCCGCACTAGTCTTGTACAGTTTTGGCCCCAAGCTATTCCCTAGCCAAGCTCTTACCCCTAGGTATCCTTGCTCTGCACCATCCAAAAGCAGAGTCTCAGGAAGCACACACAGCCAAAACGTTCCCAAATTCAGCATGTGTTTGCAGCTGTCTCCTCGCGTGCAAATGTTTAAACCTCAGCCACCCATGACTTAAAATTGTCTTTCCTGGCTTAGGTTGACAAATGTCACAGCCATGGCCTCTTCCCTGGGTAGAAAGCCAAGTGCTGCTTTGTCTCTGACCCAGCCAATGCCGATATTTTTCTGGTCCGTGAAATGGCAGGCAGCAGGCAAACAGCTTACCGACACCTAAAGGGGTGAGGCTGGCTCAAGAGTAAAGGATCAGCCAGGCGTGATGGCGGACCCCTATAAGCTCAGCATTCAGGATACTGAGGCAGGCATACCAGGCCAGCTTGGACTACATAGTGAGATCTTGTCTCAAACAAAAACCCTAAAGAATCTTCTTTTTACTTACTCAACTAAAAACAATCTGGAAATTTTTAGAATGTATCTGTAAAAATAAATGTGACTAGAAAAAGCAGGAAGCTTTCCAATGTCTAGTAAAGGTGCTTTCCATTTTTTAGGGGAAAATGTTATTTACTTGAATTTCTTCCCTTCCTCCCCTCTTTCTGCTCCCTCCCCTGTAAAATGGCAGCTGCGAGTGCAGCCTCCCATAGGAAAATGGATATCTTGTTAATAACAGATGCCAAACCCTGGCATCAACCAGGTTCAGTGGAATTAAGCTGTGGTGTAGCCTGGACTCAGGGTCATCCCCTACTGGGCTACAACTCTAGTCCTCTGTGAAGGTCAAAGCTTTCACAGTATTTTAGGATTATTTAGGGCAAGATGAAGCAGGGATCATGTAGCCTAGCATAGCATAGACATCCTTCTCAGGAAGCAGTGTCTCCCACCGCCAGCATTTTTAAAGGAATTGTTTGGAACCTGTGTTACCCATACCCTTCTCTTATCTCCTAGAAGCCTTTAGCAAGTCCTAGCCTTCTCGAGGGTCCTGGCCATTGTTCATGACTCAGGAAAAGGGTCATTTGCAGCTGCAGCGGCGGCGGCGCACTCAAAGACGTTAGCTCTAGAAAGACATTCATTTCTTTATTGAAGAGCAAGCTATGTTCTGGAGCAGCTGTTTACACTCAGAGATTTCTGCGTTTGCTCTCAGGGCTTGTTTCAAATACATGAGGCCATATCTTTCCTGAAGAAGAGCAGAGGACGTACCAACCGACATCTGAAACGCACACAGCAAGTTGGCTTAAAAGGAACATGCGAACAGAGCAAGCGAAGAGTGAAGTAATACAAATAAATATGGCACCTACTCAAAAAAAAATCATGACGACCTTGGCACAGAAACCTAGCGATTTCCAGGCAATTACAAGTGAGATTCAAAATGAAAGCAAGACAATTTGCTAAAGTAAGAACTGAAAATCTTGTAATTGGCTTTTCAAGTATTATTCACTCTTGATTATTTAATTGCCATAATTTGTATGGACTACAATGATTAAATGTCAGCTTTGACATTGTCCTGAAACTTGTGACTGGCCCAACACTTGCAGTTTAAGGAAGCTGCAGAGCCTGAACTATAAGTTACACTCTTCAGCTAACATGTGCTTTTTGAATATTTGGCCCAGACATTTCCCTGACATATTACATTTGCAAAATGCTCAAAGCAACCTTTTAGGAGTAAACAAAAGACACCCAAACCATTCATTATAAAAGGTAAAAGAAAAACCATAAATAATACATTTTAATCAAATAATATAAAGTAAATATTCTGCAGGCATAATTTTTTTAAAAAATTAATAATTTCTTTTAATTTACTCACCATAAAGAAAAGATTTAAACTGTTCAAGTGCACTTGTTTGATTAATAAAGCATTTTATATTCAACTATTTAGTGCTAATCATTAGGAAGTTTATGTTGTTGAGGCAAATCACCAGCTCAGACATTAAAAACTACCATTATAAAAATATAGCTACAAGGTCAATATCAAATTACCCTATCATAGGATAGCACAAGGACTGCTTCTGTGCCATCCTAGAAACTTTTTTTAAACACCCAAATCCCTCTCAAATCCTAGAAACCTCAAGAGCAGTGACATAAGGTAGCTTGAAACACAGGTAAGGTCCTTTGCAAAAAAAAAAAAAAAAAAGGTGTCCACCAGCATATGTAGATCATTAGTTTTAATTGTGTGTGGTAAAATTTTAAAGGTAAAAGTTAATTTGCAAGGCCTTCAGCGCTGTCTTCCTCCAGCTCTTGAACTTCCTTTTTGGTTTCCCCGTCCTTCACCTCCTGCCGGGAAACGGGAAATTTGTCCTTGTTGTTCTCCTTTTTCCATTTCATTCTCCTGTTCTGGAACCAGATTTTTACCTGTCTCTCCGTGAGGGCTAGAGCATGGGAAACCTCAATTCTTCTCTTCCTGGTCAGATAAGGGTTAAACAGGAATTCCTTTTCCAGCTCTAGGGTTTGGAAGCGACTGTAGGTTTGTCTTCCTCTTCGTCTACCAGGAGCTGCTGATTAAAAGAAACAAAATAGGGGAAATCAACGTTTTAAAAATGTGATGGTGTCTCTGCATATTGCTGGAGGTTTCTAGAACTGAAACTGGTCTACTGGTGAAATATATATACATATATATATATATATATATATATATAAAATTAAGCAAGAGAAACAGACAACGTCTTCACAATTATCCTGTTTCCATCATCTCTACACGGTTTCTACTTTTAAAAGAAAGTCTGTATTATTTTATGAATAAAAGCCACTGTGGCTACACAAGAAGGAAAAGGAGGGGAAGAGGAAGAAGAAAGGGGAGTTTTAAAGCTAGAACGTGAGATGAAAGCAGATTTCTCCCCTTCTCCCTTCTTAAAAAAAAAAATGCATCCCAACCTTGTGGTCTCATCCAGGGAAACATTTGAGAAGGAGACGCGCTCTGATTTAAGTGGTCTGGGTCCTCGCCAATATTACCACTGGACGATTTACAGTCAGGATATTGTACCAGCTCGGCCTCTTGCTGGGTCGTAAAAATCGGCTGTCTCTGTAAGTTATCGTATCCGTAAAACTTCGCGGGCTCCCCGTGACAGGCAATCCCGCCGCAGGGGGGAGGCGGAGGATGCGGAGGAGGTGGGGCGGCCTGGTAGGCAGCGGCCGGGCTGCCCCCGCCGGGGTGGAAGTAGTCCTGGCCGGGCCCCGGGCCCGGGCCGCCCCCGTGCCCCACGGGCGGTGGGGACGGGTGCGGGTGCGCGTGCGCCTGCGGGGGCGCGTGCGGGAAGCCGGCGGCACTGTTGCCATAGAGCTGCAGGGCGGCGGCGTGGCGGCCGCCGGCCTCGGGCGCGAAGTGACAGTCGTAGTAAGTGGGATTGATGGCCTCGCCCGCCGCCGCCGCCGCCGCCGCCGCCGCTGCGGCCGCCGCCTTGTACTTGGAGTACAGCGGGTTCACGAAGTACGAACTCATCGGGGCGACGGCGGCCGCGGAGCAGCAGGGAGCGCGCCCGAGCTCGGCCGCACTGCCGCGGGGGCCTCTGGGGCGGCCGCTCGCGCCGCTGGGGCCGCCGGGCCACGTCGTTGCCGCCGCCCGCCCGCACGCCGCGCGCGTCGCCTCTGCGGCCCGGCTGCCCGGGCGCTCGCCTACTGGGCGCTCATGCCCGGTGCTCGCGCCGCCGCCTGGGCCTCGCGCCGCCTCCCTCGCGGGTCGCGGGGCCTCGCCCAGCCCCCGCCCGCCGCCGCCCTCTCGGCCTCTCCCGGCGCGCGCCGGCTCGGCCGCAGTCTAATCGCCGACGCCCCGGGTGACCTGCCCTGCCGCCTCCACTGTTTCCTCTCACGCACCGGGCAGCCCCAGCGCACCGGGACAAGAAAAAAAAGTGCGCCGGCCCACGGGGGACACTCTGTGGCCACGGTTTACAAACCCTCGCTATGAAGGGAAATGAAAAAAAAACCTCCCTCTGCCCGCTACGCTACCACCTCTCACTCTGCCCCCCCGCGACCCCCTCCCGCCGTCCGCGCCGCCGCCGCCGCTGCCGAGGCTGCCGCCCCGGTACGCGCCGGCGAGGCATTTTCGCACCCCGCCACTGCGCGGAGAGCGAGCGAGATGGGAGCGAGATAACCGCGCGGAGGGATTCTCTCGACGGGACGCCTCACGCCGACTCGGAGATGCCTCCGCGGGCCTTAAAGGGGGCCCATAAAGCCGCACTGCCAAGGGCTCGCGGGGCCGGGGGTTGGGAGCGCGGGCTGCGGCGGGCAGAGATGGGGTGCCGCAGAAGCTTAGACTCGGGGAGTCGGGGAAGGCTGCGGAGTAAGCGACGCCCTCCTGAGCCCCCGGAACGGCTAAGCGGCGCAGAGTGTCCATAGCTTTTGCGGTTGTGAACCCGCGGGGCACAGCCCGGGAACTTGGAGAAGCCAGGTCGACGGACGGGAGGGACCGTGCCTGGGTTTGGGGCCTAAGTGGTTCCATGAAAACCCACCAGTGTGGCCCCAAGTTCTGGCACTATCAGATCGAATCAGGGTCCTTTTCCAGCCCAGCGGGCCTTGTGGAAATGAGATGTACATTTACCCTTGACGCACTGCATGCCTGGCTGAGGCTCCTAGGTTAATTGATATTTAATGGAAATCATGCCTCTGAATATAGTTTCCGTCATTTCACCCTTGATAGACGTCAGTGGGAGGCGCAGGGGGGAGGCTAGAGAATGCTGAAAGGGGCATTAGCATTACCGAGGGAGTAACTAAGAGAGCGGCAGACCTGCTCCCAGGCGGGAAGGAGGACGCAGGCCGGGGTGGCGGCGCTTCCTGGGCAGGACGCGGGCGCCCGAACCGGGGCAGGCTGTGGCCCAGGGAGGAGTGCGGGGGGCAGCACAGGCGAGCCCCCCTCAAGAGCCCCTGGGCCGGCGTTTGGATCGCGCCGGTTCCAGGCAGCTGCAGGCAGCCCCGCGCTCTGCCCAGGATTTGAATTCATTCGCCAAGCTTGTGCAGTGACTGCCTAGGGTGGGCAGAGGCCTCCGATTAAAGCTACTAGTTTCCGTAAAAGAAAAGAATATGAGCGATGGCAGGAGATGTGGGCAAGAGGAGCATAAATCCGCAGAATTTTCCTCATTTACCAGGCTTTCCAAGTTGGTTGGGTTACACCGCCCAACACCCCCGCAATACGCTTCTCCCCCCACTTCTTTCCTTTTAATGTCCGATAAATGTAATGGGTCTGCGTTCCGTGTATGGTCTTTTTTCCTCTCACCTACCTGGCCTTTCTCTTGGGTTCGCTAGGTGCCAAGACACTTTTTCCTTGAGGACACCAGGGCCACTGGCTTTGAAAACAGACCTTGAAGTCACACCCAAACGCCCCGAGAGGACGCTCCAGCTGGCTAAATCAATCCACACCACATGCAAATTTCTGAAAAATCTCACAGGGGGCCTCAAAAATCTCAAAAACTCGGCAGGCCAGCGATTTCTACGATTTCTACTACCCCGCGTTAAATGTTGCTTGGCCTAGCCTGTGTGAGCATGATCCTGAGGTTAGTCTAGATCAGAGTATTATTTTTACATATGGAAAAAATAAGGTTAAGATTAAAAGGCATAGCAAGATAATGTCTATTTCTACCGAGAATGGCTGGAAACGGTGAAGGCAAACGGATTATTAGTGAACCTGGAGATGGCAGAGGCAACGCTTTATTGAAATTTCAAACTAGTTCAGAGTGCAGAAAACTTTTGTTACAGGGATGGCTGGAGGGCAAGGCTGTTCTCCTAGTTTGTATGTTTTTTTTTTTTAAATACTGCTGTTTATCATCATTGTTCCCAGGTAACTTCCTGTAAATTTAAAAAAAGAATGAACTGATTCTGACAGTAAGGATTTGTACTTTAATCTCATAAATACCGAATTAAAAGATTATTATTTTTAATAAAACTTTGTCAACTTTGTAGTTGTCGTTTTATTTCACTGTAGAGTATACACGTGTGTGTGCACGTATGTGTCTGTGCACAAGTGTATGTTGGAATCCTGGATAAATGAATGGGTTTGGGAGTGGAAAGGGAAAAGGCAACCCAAATCTCAATGACACAAGACACTTTTTAGAACTGAGTGACTTTTGAGGGACATAGCAGGATGGCACAGGGGGCAGCCACACTACAAAATTCCCTTCTACACATTCAGGCCTAATTTGGAAAACATTTCAACACAACATTTCCTCTTGAGACAAAACACTTTTTAAATTTATTAAATCTAAATAGAAAGTGAGCCCGGTTCACATCGTGAATAAAGGTCTCTACTTTTACACGTTTCCGTTTTGATAGAATGCATTAATTTACCATAACATTTTATAGTTTCAGCTGTGTCCATAGTTCAAATTTTCTGAAATCCTGGCTGAGCCAAAATTTTATGCCTAACAAACATGGCTGTAGAATTTAATAGTGCACATTGTTTATTTTTGGTTAAATTTATCCTAATTTGGGATTAAAAATAAGATTGTAAATATTTTTAATCAAAACCTTCCTCTGCCGCATAGCGTTTTACGAGATCACACAGTGGAGCAACAGCGCTCTCTAGTGGTCAAATGCCAAGTCGAGCGGACCATGTTTAACTTCATTTTTATTCGCCTCAGACCAATTCTAATGCTTCAGTTTGACTGGGACTTGGACCGCTGACACGACTAATGCTTCATCTCTCTGATTGTCAACAAGTCAAGTACAGCAAACAGGGGGAGGCTCCTGAATGCTAAGGATAGTCTCATCTGTGTTCCCAAGAACTTCCAGTAGTGTCTTTGCCAAAAGCACTAGTCTATCTTTTGCCAGACACTGTAGGTTCCCATTTTGTAATGGCCCAGCTGTATCTTTTATACACAATTATAGGACAGGCTAGACTTAGCAAAAACCACAACTTTTTAAATATCAATTTCCAAGAGGCTTTCTTTCAAAGGAGCCAGCCATTTCAACAACTAACAAATTTGGAAGTCAAGCATCATTATATTTTTCTCTTAAAGCTGTTATCTTTTGGCATCCAATTATAAATATTTGGTATTTGAGCTTTTTAATTTTAATGTTGTATGTCCATTTAGCCGGACAATTTGGAGTGGGATTAAAGCCAAATTGAAAGCTTTTTGCTCGATCTTTGAATATATCTGGAAAGTCCCCTTTGGGTGTGCGTCCGTTCAAATTTCCACGGACAGTGAGATTTCAGATTTTCATATAAAAAGTCTTGGACTGAACCAGACTACCTAAATCTTGAATTTTTTTAAAAAGCAAAGACTATTAAATCAGCTTAGGTGTTTCCTGCTTGCTTAATATTTTTTTCTAATTTAAAAAGATGCTTTCTGACAGTTCAGGTGTTAATGACTGTATATTTAATGAACAAATAGATATAAATTCCAGTATCTTTATAGTGAAGTTTGGAGTGTCAGATTTATTTTTATGAAAAGGCATGTAGCTTCATTTTTCCCACCGACCACACTTCTGGGAGGCATTAGCCTGAATGAATGGCCCGATTATCAGTAACCTCCCTACTTCAAATAACAGAGTGTGTCCTCTTATATTTTCTTAAAGAACCAGCTAGATGTGGCCATCGTCAAAATATAAAAAGCCACCAACCGGTGTAGCTACACCTAATGCTCAGCTCATTAAAATAATTACAAATACGTTGCCTCCTTCCTTCTTGTCACTTTCTATCTAGGTGTTCACACCTCACCCTGGGCTCCCAAGCCCCTTCCTTCTGCATCCAACACAGTCTTGTTTATATTTTTATTGTCCAGATTTTAAGACCTAGTTTTGTCTGCATTTTTCCTTTCCTCTCACAAACATCAAAATGAGATGGTTTCAAAGCGAAGCGCCTGGCCTGTTGTAAACTCATTACCCCCAGACGTCTAGCCGGCTCGATGGCTTTATGACACCTTGGCTCTTCCTGTTTTCAAAGAGCTCTAGGTATCAGGCTGGCCACAGGGGCGGGGGTACCAAGCACCTTCTGCCGGATCTGGGCCTTGGCTTTCCCTCCCAGCCCCCCTCTGTTTTTTCTTGGAGTCCCCTCTTTCATCAGGATCCCCAAGATCTCTGCCACCTCCCCCGTCTTCCGCCCAGCCCAGGCCAACCGGCGCCACTGCCTCCTCTAGGGCCTGCAGAGGCTGTGCTCCTCCTGAACCCTTGCTTACAATGACCTTCATTTTAGCCTCTGAATGTGGACCTCAGAAGGCCAAGCTGGGGGCTAAACATACACAGAAGCTGGGTGGAGGGAAAGGGGCGGTGGGTAGAAGGTGGCCAGCCCAAAGCAGTGCCTTGACCATTTTGATCCACTAGGTCACTTTGAGGCTCTGCTGGGGAGGGGTGGAAGCTGACAGTCTAGCCAGCCTGCACCTTCTGGAGCCAGCCAGCCCTGCGACCAACCAAGAGAGCTACTCCAGAGTGCAAAGCTGGACTTTCCCTTGTTTGGAGACCTAAACTGGCAGCAAGGCTCTGTGAGCTATGGAAGGCATGGAGTGTGGCGTGCTGAAGCCAAAGCAAAAGAGTGTCTGGTTCCTGGGGCCTGCCTGCTCCATTGCTCACTGCTGCCAGGCTGAGCCTGAGACCAAGGCAAGGAGTGCACTGAGGCACTGGCATCCAGAGAAGGAGGCACCAAGACACCCCACGCCAGGGAGTGTGCCTGAAGCCAGCCTGCCTTAAGGGAAGCTGAGAAGCACATTAGAGAGAACTGGCAGGTACATGGGTCCCGAATATTTAGCAGTGTCTCCCCATCAAAGGACAGGGGAGAAGTCTCAAAAGGGTGCTATTTTGCAGAAAGAAAGAGAGTAGGCACACAACTTCAGGCCAGTGTCTGGGCTCCATTTGATCAGATCAGCATTTATTGGTAGGAAGCGGTAACATTTACAACTGGTCCTTGGGCAGGTACCGGGAAGGCCAGCACCAGGCTGCCCACAGGATCCCAGCCCTCCCGGGGGGGGGGGGGGAGAAAGCAGCTCCTCCAAAGCACTCAGGACAAACCACCACCCACCCGAGGCCCTGGGCTCCTCCTAGGCCTCATTCGTGGTCTCAGTGGAAGGCCTGCGGGATCCCTGAGGAAAGGGGGCTTTTGAAACCCGTGGCCCACCGGGCTGGGCTTCCACCTGGACAAGCAGCAGAGGCGTCCACAATGTCCCTCTGCATTCAGAATCCCAGAATTGGGGTTCCGCCTGGCCCTGTTGGGGCAGCGCTGAGGGCTGGGGGACTAAGCTACAGCACATTTTGGAAACATGGGAGACATTTACACAGGAGAGGGCTCCTTAAGCCAGCGTGCACTCACAAAATATAGCATTTCCTAAGGAATCCACGGAGCAGGAAAGGGCGTGGGACAGGCGAACCCCGAAGTCACTTGGTTTCTTCAACACATAAGCGAGCAAATACAGAGTCCCCCAAATACCTCACAGAGACCAACCACACAGTCACTTCTACCTAATAAAGAAAAACAAAGTCTGAGTCGCTGGAGAGTTTCTGGAAATCAAGCACCCACAAAGAAAAATCCCCGCTGCCTCTGGGCGCTCCTGCGGGTACTGCGCTGGGTCAATCTCCTTTCGGGCATTTCTCCTTGCTCATCTTTTTCATTTTCATCCTACGGTTCTGGAACCATATTTTGACCTGTCTCTCTGTGAGGTTCAAAATCCTGGCCACCTCGTAGCGCCGGTCCCGGGTGAGGTACATGTTGAAGAGAAATTCCTTCTCCAGCTCAAGCGTCTGGTATTTGGTGTAGGGACAGCGCTTTTTCCGGGTGGAGCGAGCGTGGATCCAGTTCGCCGCGGGGTTGTCTACGAAGAGGGGGGTTTGCAGAAGGGGAGCGAAGGGCGGAGGGGAGGCAGGGTAAGACGACAGGGTGGGGAAGAGAGGTCGTTAAATTAATTTCACTAAGGATGGCCGCTTTTCACAACTGGGGGGAATTATCATAAAAAGCCTTAATGCCCGCGCTCTGTTTACCGTACAAACCGCGCGCCCAGGGTAGGTGGTTATGGGAAGGTTTTTTATGGATGCGTGTTGCTCGCCTAGGCTTGGGTAGGCGTCTAGACGTTTTTATAGGTTAGTAAAACTATCAGTTTTGCACATTCGAGCCTTACAGGTTTCAGCAATAAATCAGGGGGCAATTTCTTTTGCACTTACTTGGGTCAAGTTGCTGCTGCGGAGCCTGCGGATGCTGCTTCTCCTCCTCCTTCAGCGGGCAGCCTGGGCTCGGGTGATCGCTGCAAGCCGAGGGCTCCGAAGAGCCGCCTGCTCCAGGCCCGGCCCGAATCCCCGCCCCGGGCCCGGTTCCCCCTGCCGCCGCGGCTGCCTTGTCCCGCAGGAACGAGGTGCACGAGAACTCGGTGCCGCCGCTCCCCTGGGACTCTCGGGCCGCAGAACACTCAGTCCGTTTGGAGGAGGAGGACGAGGAAGTAGAAGAGGAGGTGGAGGTGGAGGCTGCGGCGGGGGCCGGGGCCGCTCCGGTTTCAGGCTTAATCCCGTAGTGGCGCCCGTTGGCTGGGCCTCCGGGGCCAGGGCTGGGACCGGGGCCCGGGCCGCCGCCTCCTCCTCCACCTCCTCCGCCGCCGCCGCCGCCGCTCGCGCCCCCGGGGAAGCCGGGCAGCGGCTCCATCCAGGAGCGCACGTAGCGGCCGGGCTCGGAGGCGGCGGCGGCCAGGGGCGGCGGGGGCACGTACGGGTGGTAGAGGCCGCTCATCGCCGCCGCCGCCGGGGGCTGGGCGGGCACCGCGGACCACGAGGCGGAGAACACGGCCGATTTGGGGGCAAAACTACACGAGGTGAACTCGGCGGCGGCGGTGGCCGAGCCATCGGCCACACCTGCAGGCCGGCCCTGCGCGCCCGGCCCCGGAGGCCCGAAGCGCGCGGCGAAGACCTCGTCGCCCTCATGGCCTATGAGCGAGTCCACGTAGTAGTTGCTGAGGGTGCCACTGGAGGACATTTTGAGGCGCCGCGCGCTCCCACCCAAGGTTACACTGCCCGCCGCCGCGCCGCTCCCCGCCGGCGCCCGAGCCGCCGACTAGTTCGCAGGCTGCAGCCTCCACCATTGGTCGCGCGGCCCACGTGATCATATTTACCAATACCGGGAGTAAATCAGTCCGCTAAACTGGGGGCTGCTGCGATTAAAAAAAAAATCATCAACACAAGCGCCGCAATTAGAGCCGCAGGCCCAGGCCGGGAGCCCGCGCGGCCCGGCCCGGCCCGGCCCGCCCCGCCCCGCCCGGCAGCGGCTGGGACCGCAGGCCCGCGGCAGCCGAGGAGGCGCTGGGACTATTTGTTCGTCTCCTGCTGGCTCCCTGGTCCTGCAGTCTCGGCCCCGCGCGGGCTCCCAGCTCGGCGCATCGGACGCCGCTGGGAGCCGGCAGCCGCAGGCGCGCGCGGGACGGGCCACCCGAGGCGGGCGGGCGGGCGGGCGGGCGGGCGGCGTGGGGGCGGCCCCTGGCGCCCACGGGCAGCTCTGGTCCCCTCGCCCGCTCCCATCCCGAAACCGCCCCTCCCCACACATCCCCTGGCACGCGCTCTCTCACAGCTTGGCGTGTTGTTTAAAACAGGTGGAAGACCTCTGTAATGATATTATGCCTTTCAATAAAAATTTTATGAGGTGTATTTGATTATAGATTAATGTGTCCCTAATAAAACGGACGGATGGAGCAGCTCGGAGGGCCCCCTCCCCCCGCACACTCACACACGCCCGCGCAGCCACACACCCTCGACGTGAGACTGGGCACTCGCGGCAGCCCAAGGGGACCAGGAGCTTGGCTCTCGGGCAGGGCCGGCGGGGCGCGGCGGAGGCGGCCGTCTGCCCTGCAGGGCCGGTGGGCGGTCGAGGGCGCGCGGCTGGCGCAGGCAGTGGCCTGGGGGCCTCGTCTTCTCCGGGCTGCTGGGCGGCCCTGGAAGAGAACACGTCACAGAGGCGAGAACCCCAATGCTACAGCACGGCTGCCACCCCGCCGGCCGGGCCCTTCCTCTCCACCCTCAGGACCGCTGCACTCCTGCGCCCTGGAGGCCTCCAAGTGGATTCCCAAGATGTCTGAAAAATCCCAGTGGCCAGGTCCTAGGGCCACTCCCTTTGCAATTTTTCCCCCTTGACTTCAGAGGTAAGAGCTGGGCAGCCTTGAATCTGAAGGAAATGCCCATTGTCACTCCCAAATCCATGGTACAAAGCCTCTGAAGCCCGGCTGGGAGCCGAGACAAAAGCGGCGCGGGCGACAGCGGCGGGGGAGGGCATATTCCTCGCTCTACAAGTTGCCCGGCACCCTTGGAGGGCTCCCAGCCCACCTCCAGCCCCGGAAAGAAAGGGGGTAAATCGCTGCTTATGGCCTGATTGATTGCCTTTGCCAAAGGCTTTCTGATTTTGTTGCAGAGGGACTGCCCTTTCCTGTAGCACAGGTTTCCCTCCTTGACAAGGCCCCCTCTCAACAACTAATGGCACTCCCCACATCGCTGGGAGAAAACAGCAGAGTTAAAACTACCCTCCTTCTTTTGCCCATCTAATGTAAGTCTGGGGCAAAATATTTCAGTGTTCACAGCCCAGTACTGATTCAGATCCCTCTCTCACCCACCCCAGAAAATGACACCCCTAGAGACTTCTGTTTGGGAATTTGAGAAGGATCCTCTCAAAGGGGGAGGAAGTTTTAAACTGATTAAATACTGAGTGTCCCAAAGACTCTCTGAATGAGACTCTGAGGCTCAGAGAGTCTTAATGGGTGATTCTGAGGGAAGGATATAGGAGAACTGAAGAGGATCAATTTTATGAAACTCCTTGAGGCTACTGGAGACCCTTTGAAACTGAAGGCAGGGCCTGGGGCAACGAATCCTCTGTCAGTTCCCCCACCACACCCCCCACCCGAAGCTCCTTTTCCCTTTCCCTGGCAGTGGTTGATAAATCTGGGCTCTCTAGTGGGAATTCTGCAGAAGTTGGTGGGAATTTCCCAAGCCATGGCTGTAAATGCAACACTGGACTTCATAGGAAGCCATGTTCACTTGCAAATTCTCTTTCAGTTACTTTTTCTGCATTTTCTTGCCTCTCAGATGCAGCGGCCATCAGCATTTTGTAATTAAATAGTAGGTGGTTTGACTAAGGATAATCTTTGCATTTGAAAAAATTCATGTGGACCACTAAAAGGTAATGAGAACAGAAAATCCCTCCACAAGGAAACCAAGGCAAAGTGGGATAGGAAAACTCACCTATCCTTGGTCTTGCTGGGGTCTGGTTGTCTTGCGCTTGGGATAGGGGTGGGGATGAGCAAAGAGGGGAAAATTGGATCCAGTGCAATGCTAACTTGCTACTTGTCCTTGCTGCAGTAATGGAGGCCCGGCCGCTTCCAGGTGGGCAAGACTAGTTTCAACCTAGCCCCTGATGATGGCTCCCCCAGCCAGAAGTCATCAGGATCCCACTGAAAACATTAAAAATAACACAACTAAAACCAAAGAGAAGAAAACACACATATGGGGTGCTGAGAGGAAAAAGTGGCTTTGGGTACAGACTTACTTACCAGGCTCCCACTAGGCAGAGGCTCACACCCATTGAGGGTACAAATATGTCACTGTGATTGGGGGCTGAAAGAGGACACAGAACTCCCAAGCTGCATTATCACCCGTCTCCCCTCAAGCCCTGCCAAATTCCAGCGTCATCCTAGGCCTCCGCTAATTCTTCTCTCCATCTCCTTTTTCTTGCCTTCTATCACTCCCCCACCCAACTGCCCCAAACTGGCAGTTGAATCAGAAGAGAACCTCCTCAAAGGCTTTCATTTCCATCTGAACATATTTCCGTTTTAGAAAGCAGAGGGAGCGAACTCATTTCCAGAGTTTATTGCATTATACATGCGACCAGAACATGCACAGAAAGGACAGGTTGCTGTTGTACTTCTACCAAACCACAGATGCACCACAAGGGAAAGGCTACAAGGCATAAGTTGTCAATATTCCATCTCACCAAGAACAATTGCTAAGTTCATTTGTGAAAAGATACATTGTAATGTGCTTTTTTTTAAAAGTCCCCCTCCCCCCAAAGCTTGTGGGTTTTCTTAAATATGTATGTGTGTAATTTAAAAGTACTGGATGTATTCAAAATGCCATGAGTTCATGGACTAACCACACACAGAACTTTTGCGTTAGGAAAAACATGAAAAAGTCACATTGCTGGAATTATGGATGGATGGTTAGATGGATGCTCTACATTTCCAATAAGTTAAGACCCAAATGAATATGCGCAGTAATAGTTACCCTGCATTACGATGAAAAAATAATAAATTACACGTGCTAAGTTTTTTAATATATATATATATATACTCATAGCGATTACAGATCACTTGCAGCACGAACAGAATAACCCCAAAGTCACATTCTAACAGGAAAACAAAACAAAACAAAAAACAAAGAGCAATGAAGGTTTTGTTTCCGCCTTCCCAGTCCTCCAGCACTGGGCCCTGGAACGCGGTGCCCCCTCTCTGATCCTGGCCTCCCACCGGCCTCGGACCTAAGAAAAGGTGAGGTTGGCGGTCAGTTCTCGGATCCGGTTCTCTCGGCTCATCTTCTTGAGTTTCATTCGGCGGTTTTGAAACCAAATCTTGACCTGCCTGTCGGTGAGGTTAACGCTCTTACTGATCTCTAGGCGGCGCTCGCGGGTGAGGTACATATTGAACAAGAACTCTTTCTCTAATTCCAGCGTTTGGTGCTTAGTGTAAGGGCATCTCTTCTTTCTCCCACTCTTTGCAGTGAGCCAATTGCTGGTTGGAGTATCAGACTTGATTTCCTCTAACAAAATTAAAGGAAGAAGAAAAAAAATCAAGATCTTTTTTTTTTCCTTCTCAGTTTGTTCAAATATACCCTTGGCCATGACCCTAATGGCAAGCAGGCCGCTTTGGGCAATGCTGGTATTAAACATTACACAGGTGGGTCCTGGGAGAGCTTTTCAACTGATGGCCAAATTAGAAATGCCCAAAGTGACAGAATGGGAGGGTGTACTCATCAGATCTCTCTGTCTCTGTCTCTGTCTCTCTCTCTCTGTCTCTGTCTCTCTGTCTCTTTCAGAACTTTCTGACTTACACAAAATCTAAGTATAATGGAAAACTTTCTAGGATGTCCCCAGCAACCTTCTAAGTGACCAGCTTATGACAGGGCGGAAGTGAATGCAGGCACAGCCTGGGCAAGCCCACCAACCCCACTGCAGTCTCAGGTCCCTAAGCCTGAAGCTTCTTCCCCACCACTGCTAGGCAAGCAGGGAGCCTAACCGGTTTGTAGGTACATTATCTATCCTTTCTCAAAAAATAAATGAGCAAGCAAGGGTACCTTCTCCACTCTAACTGGCATTGTTGCATTCCGCCAGAATTTCCTAAATTCTCACGTCTTCTGGGTCCATACAAAAGCATTCCCCAGCACCATAACTCCTAAGGTGGCCCACCTCTGGGCATGGGGGAGAGTCTCAGGGAACAGGGTTCTTCTCAAAAACCCAGATCCTTAGCTCTGCCTCAGCCCAGCCCTCAGGCTGGCCTTGCATAGAGGGCTATGCAGTTGCATTCTCCCCCCTCTGCCCTTGCCTTCTTTGTAGACGATTGCAAAGCCTGCGGCACTATCCCCAGACAAAGCCAAGGTTACCTAGCCCTGCAAAGGCAGAAAGACCTTTTACCCCACCCAAGAGCCAATTGGCATAACCATCTCGTTCCCCCACGCTCGCAGGATGCGGGGTGCACACACTTGGACACAAACACGGTGCCTTAAAATGATCCCTGGATGCCAGGCAAAACTAGGACTACAAATCTGACCAAGGAGAAAGGAGGCTCTGGGGCCCTGTTTATGAACCGCGGGTCTCTTTTGCATCTTTTGTTGCATTTCAAGTCTAATTCAGGAAAAACAAACCCCACAAGCCTTTCCTCTTCCCCAGGCGCCATCAGCATGGGGCCCGGGATGGCCAGGCAGAGGGAGAGAAGCAGGGACCAACTCAAGACTGAGATCTCTCCTCAAAAAGCAGGGCAAAGCACCACCTGCCAAGTCGGGCACCCGTCTCGGCTGTCTGGGCTCTGCGATGGGCACCCAAGCGCTCCCTCTCCGCCGGTTCCCGGACTGCGCGCCCCGCTGGGGTGGCAACTCTGCTCATACCGACCTTTGCTTTCCTTCTCCTGCACTTCAGGACTGGATACGGAGACCTCAGCCAAGCAGCTCCTCTCTTCAGAAAGGCCGCCTTTGGCCTCGGGGCTCTCCACCTGGGAGACTTTGGTGGGCTCCTGGCCGTTCGCGGTCTCGTTCATCTTCTTTTCCATCTGCAGCTGGGCAGCCGAGAGCTGTGGCTTGGCCGCGCCACGAGGGTTGAGCTGGAGCATGACAGTGGAGCTGCCTTCGGGGCTGTTATTGTACTCTTGGGTTTTCCCGGTGGCGTAGGTCTGACTCAGTCTAAAATATCCAGGGACAGGAACCTCGGGGTTCTCAACGGGACAGGACTCGGGGACCAGCCTCTGGTACGAAGGGACCTCGGCAGAAATGAGTTTGTTGCGCTTATCAGAATACATGCAGCAATTGGATTCTTCTTTAATGTTGGTAGTGAAGGAGCAAGTGGGGACTTGCTGTGTAACAGGTTGCTCTATTCGACAAGATCTGTTCGGGTCTGTCCAACTGTCTACTTGAGGTATATAAGGATGCACATTCATACCCATATTTTGGTGGTTCACTTCTCTTTTGGCCAGAGACGGGAGCAGTCCACAGGTTTGCATTCCATAGGTCCCCATGTCTGCGCTAGGTGGTGGCATGTACATGCTGGCGCTGCTCGAATAAAAACTGTCACTCCTGCAGGCACTGATCAAGGAATCTACTAAAAAAGTATTAGCAGCAGGAGAGCTGTTGGGAAAGGACATTTTGGGGAGGAATTTGAAGAAGAGAGATTGTGTCCTTTGTAGGCTGACATCTCTAGGAAAACATTCCCCGTGTAATTGTGGATGCCTCTGCCGACCACATGACAACCAAGCCAATGAGATTTGAAAATGGCCTTGAGCCGCAGCCTCCTCGCAGGTCACGTGCTCCAGAGCCCGGCCGGCCGGCCGCGTAAGCACGGACAACAGCGACATCTACAACGCGCCGGTGATAGTGCGCGCTGGAGACAACCGGCCCAGAGCTCTCCGCCGCGCGCCCGCCCGCCCGCCTCCCGGGGCTCGCCCGGCCTGCCTGCCCCACTCGCGACCCCCACCCTAGCAATCCGGCGGAAGGAAAGGCTTGGTCGGAGGGGCGTCCGGGAGGACACGCGCAGGGAGGGAAGCCAGAGCGCCGCGGCGCCAGCACACATTGAAGCATTTCCCTGCACACGCCCAGGCAGAGCGCGCCCCAGAGGGCCGGGTCCGGGGCAGGGAATGGGGGCGCGGGCTGGTGATTTTAGTAGCCGGGGAAGGTGAGTCGGATTCCTCTGGTCCCGAGACATCCCACGCCAGGGGTTCAAAGGGAACAACCTTCGCGCAAAGACGCGGCCAAGGTGTCCTAGGAAGCGGCGGCGTAAAGGGCTGCGAGGGCCGAGAGGCCAAGCAGCTGGCCGGCCCCGCTGCCCAGAGGATGGGCCAGGCCTGGCGGTCTCTTCTCCCAGCCCCACCGCCCCTACTCTGAGCCCCTCCGCGCCCCCGCGAGCTACATTAGCTCCGGGCTCTCAGAGGAGCCACACCTGACCTTTGCGGGCCCCGGGCCGGGCGCTGGGCGCTTTCAGCCCCAAGACCATCCTTCGCCAGCAGTTCCCCTTCCGCGAGAGCGTCTCTGAGACTCCCAGCGGGAGGATTATGCCAAAATTTCTTTCCCCACTCCCTGATGACAGAGGGCAGAGAGGAAGAAAGGAAGAAAGAAAATTTTTGAAAGCAGAGGGGGAAACCCTGACCCTCAGACTCCAGAAGTTTTAGAACAGTGACTGGGCCAGGCAGGAGGGAGAGAAATACAAAGGTGTCATTTTGTTCTTCTACGAAGAAAAATATGTTTTCCTTTTATGGATTTTGTAAAAGCATTGGTTTCTGACAAGTGCTAGGTACAAAAGGTTGTGGAATTTATTAATACATATTAAGAAGAATCAGGGCGATCAATAAAATTCTCATCTACATTCTTGGGCTACTTGGTAATTTTCTTGCTTCTGAAGGTTTTTAAAGAGTTATACCCGCTGTTGCCACACACGGGAAGATATTTTATTAACAAATCAA